CGCAATAAACCGGGCGGCCACGCACGCACGCTGCTCGCCTGCGTCCGCTCTTTCGGAGCCCCAAAGGCCGTGACTTCCAGCGCTGCTTCTGGAATTCCCGGGCCTTCTTCTCCTCGCCGTGTCCTTGCCATTGGAGCTAGCGTCTCTTGCACAGAGACAGGTGAGAGTTCAGTCCTCTCCTCCACTCCTCCATGCGGCTTCTCTGTTCTCTTAGTTAAATTTTCTGATCCGATCTCTCGGAAGCTACTTTTTATTATATTACTATTTTTGTCGTCGCCGGGGATGGTTGGATCTCCTCTTCTTGCCGCCCGGGAACGATCCCACAACCGTTTGCCTCGTTGTTTCCTCGGAATTCTTGCTTCTGCTGCTCCTTGTTCCTCGGGATTATTCTTGCTATCACTGCCTCCGCTCCGTGAAATCCGAGGTTCTTGATCAATCCCGGTGCTCTGGTCTCGTTGTCTTTGCAGGCCCAAGGAGGCCGCGATGGCGAACCTGACGAACGGCTTTGCGAGCCTCCATTGCGCAGGGGCGATGCATGTGGACAAAGGGCACATGCAAGCTTCGGGACTGCCTTTTCTCTCTTTCAGAAGATGCTCCCAGCTTGATATCTCCAGGTGAAGTTGCTACTGTCAATTGTTCTTCAGTGTCAAATGTTTTGTTGCCCCCGCCCCCCCCAAAAAAAAAGGATCCCAACTGCTTATTGTAGTTTAATAGCCTGACTTGTTTTTTTTTTCCCATTTTGAAGTTCTATATATCATTCTAAATCAAGTTGTTCAACTTCCGGGCATTGATTTTCATCGCTTAAAGTTGTTCTCCACATTTATTCTTTACTACTTTTGGAAAAGAAGCCGTATAGGAATTCCAAGCTGACCGAATTTAGCTAAAATAAGGACCAAACATGTAAAGCGTTTTCAGTTAATCGAGTTAGTTATTGCAATTTGCGGTTCTCATGTGACAGCTCCTTCCTGTGGTATCACTGTTGCATTGTTTAGTCTGATGACAATGTGTTAATTCTGCTTAAACAGACTAGGTAGCGTGCCTCGTTTCATGGGCGCAAAATCTGCTACTGTCTCCCAATATTATGTGAGACACAGAATCAGCGCCATCAGAGCTTCTACTCTTTCCTGCCTGCAAGATGATACCACAAAATTCTTCGATTTTGTGGTTATTGGCAGCGGTGTCGCTGGCCTAAGGTATGCCCTGGAAGTTTCAAAGCACGGCTCTGTTGCTATTATCACCAAGGCAGAGCCTTATGAGAGCAACACAAACTATGCACAAGGTGGTGTTAGCGCCGTTCTATGCCCCTCGGATTCTGTAGAAAGTCACATGGAAGACACAATTGTTGCAGGGGCTTATCTGTGTGACGAAGAGACCGTCAGGGTAAGTGTTAGAATCCACCATCCTCACAGTAGTTTTTCAATTGCCTCAATGTTATATAGACACATTTTACAGCAAATCATCGCTTGTGAACAAATTCTTCCCTGCATTTGTACAGTTGTTAATTCATATTTGTTAGCTAATAAATAACCTTTGTGCTGTTTTTCAGGTAGTTTGCACAGAAGGTCCAGAGCGTGTCAAGGAACTAATTGCCATGGGTGCCTCATTCGACCATGGTGAAGACGGTAGGCTGCATCTTGCAAGGGAAGGTGGACATTCTCACAACAGAATTGTCCATTCTGCTGATATGACTGGAAGAGAGATTGAAAGAGCACTACTTCAAGCAGTTGACAATGATGATAACATATCTTTGTTTGGTCATCACTTTGCCATTGATCTATTGACATGCCAGGTTGGTATATACTCTTCTTATGCCAGTCATTGATCTCTAGTTTATTTGGCGGATAATACTTCCATTGGGTGTGTTCTCGCATGTGTTTTTTTTCCTTCTGTTACTTTTGGATGCTGCCTTCTATATAGTTGTGTGCATGTTGTTTTCCTGATTTCCTTCATCAACATATATATTGGTACCTGGCAACTAGCCTTGGACTACACGAAAACTTTTTGCGAACTGGTGATTGGCCAGATTAATGATTTCCTTTTGTCATCTGACTTTACAGAAGAACAAAATAACAGAACTTTTTAGAAACAACCAAAATAGTGGAACTTGCTTATAGTTAATGGTCCTAGGCTTAAATCAGTCTAGAGTATAAAAAAGGTTTCAGAACATGGTTGTTGAAGTGCTCACTTTTCAGGAAACAGTGCAGGAAGCGACAAGGCCAAGAGATCGGATCTTAATGGCCTGCTATCGTCGCCTTTCGATCCACATGTTTGTCGATACTGACCTCTTAAACGCAACCTTAAAATGTCGTACTCGGTGGTGATTAACTTGCAATTTGCCTCTTCCATTTGATTTCCCCATTTCTGTTCTCAGATTTACACTCAAATTTGACACATTGTCCTTGTTTTTGCTCAATTTCCCAACTTTCAATGCTTTTGCTGAATTAAACTTTCATGACCTTTTTACATGTTCTTTTTATGGAAACAAAGCCAATTACAATTATGTTCTACAGGTGGAAATATGTGCTGTGCTATGACATGCCTAATTTGCTCCTCGAATTGTAAATTTTCCACTTAAAGTGTTTTTACACACATGACGAGTAATATTAACTGTTCTGTTGCAGAAAAATGGTGAAATCTATTGCTATGGAGTGGATTCGATAGACATTGAAACTCAGAAGGTATATCTTTTAGTTTTCTTACATTATTACAAGTGTGAAGGGCGGGCCTGGTGCAAGCGGTAGAGTCTTACCGCCTGTGACCGGAAGGTCCCAGGTTCGAGTCACGGTCTCCTCGCATTGCACAGGCGAGGGTAAGGCTTGCCACTGACACCCTTCCCCAGACCCCGCACAGATCGGGAGCTCTCTGCACTGGAGTACATTATTACAAGTGTGCCTCATTTCCTCTTGTGTCATTTGTCATTTCAGTAATAAACTTTTAGCACCACTCTTGTCAAAAACTGTTCTTATGTCATCCAGGTAGTCCGTTTCATCTCGAAAGTGACATTGCTTGCATCAGGAGGAGTTGGCCATATATATCCCACAACCACCAATCCAGTGGTATTTTTCAGGATACTGCACTCTTTAATATCTTTTATTTAAGCCATCGTCTGTCATTATCTTTCTGTTATCTATTCTGCTAAGCCAGCATGCTTTTCCAATAGTACAATTATTAGTAGGTGAACTGATTCCTTGAAATTCGATGTTTCAGGTAGCTACTGGGGATGGAATTGCGATGTCTCATCGTGCTCAGGCTGTAATATCCAATATGGAGTGAGTTTCTGTTGCCCTGAGATATCCTCACCCCTTTTGTTCTCAATAAAAAATATGTTAAAATTTGTAGCCGTCCCTATTATTCTCTAGTTAAAATTTATACAACAGGATTTTGTTTGTTTGTAGCAGTAGGTACCTTGCGAATCTGTACCCTTAAATTGTTCCTAATTCAGTTTTTCTTCTACTTATTATATCACCAGTGTCCATACCATGACTAAAAATGTCTCTACTTTGCATTGTCAGGTTTGTGCAGTTCCATCCAACCGCACTTTCAGATGAGGGCCTGCCAATCAAGCCAAAGACAAGAAGAGAGAATGCATTCCTCATAACGGAAGCGGTCAGAGGAGACGGAGGAATTCTTTACAATCAGTCCATGGAGAGATTCATGCCGATGTACGATGATCGCGCCGAGTTGGCACCGAGAGACGTGGTTGCGAGGAGCATAGATGACCAGCTGAAGAAACGAGGCGAGAACTACGTCCTCCTGGACATCAGCCACAAACCGAGAGAGAAGGTTCTTGCTCATTTCCCAAACATCGCCGCCGAGTGCCTGCGGTACGGCCTGGACATCACCCGGCAGCCCATCCCGGTGGTCCCAGCGGCGCACTACATGTGCGGCGGCGTCCGGGCCGGGCTTCAGGGGGAGACCAACGTGAAGGGCCTGTACGTCGCCGGCGAGGTCGCGTGCACGGGGCTGCACGGCGCGAACCGGCTGGCGAGCAACTCGCTGCTGGAGGCGCTGGTGTTTGCCAGGAGGGCGGTGCAGCCGTCCATCGACCACATGTTGGACGCCGACGGCGACGCTTCCCTGGCGGCGAGGTGGGCGTGGCCGACGCTGCCGTGGTCGTCGCTGGGTGATGGCGCGCTGGCGGACATCGTGGAGCGGACGAGGCAGGCCAGGACGGAGCTGCAGTCGGTGATGTGGGAGTACGTCGGCATCGTGCGGTCGACGGGGCGGCTGAAGCAGGCCGAGTGGAAGATCGGCGACCTGGAGTCGGAGTGGGAGGAGTTTTTGTTCCGGCGGGGGTGGAAGCCGACCATGGTGGGCATCGAGGCCTGCGAGATGCGCAACCTCTTTTGCTGCGCCAAGCTCGTCGTCAAGAGCGCGCTGGCCAGGCGCGAGAGCCGCGGCCTGCACTTCACCGAGGACTTCCCGTACCTGGAGGAGAGCAGGAGGAAGCCCACTGTCATCTTCCCGGCCGCCGTGCAGGAGCTCACATGGAGCTCCAAGCCGTTGCAGAGGCAGCTGCGGTGCAAGTAGACGGCATGCAGTTCATCGAGCTGGGGCTTGGGATTCGTTAGCTTATAAGAACTGGGCTGAATTTGCCCTCTTTCAGTCGACAGCATACACAAAATCCCGTGAAACTGGAAATGTTAGAGATTCAACAGTTAGGCTGAAGTAGCCTGCATATCTTTGGCATTCTTGCCAGTTCCAGCTGTTGCAACTTGTAAAAGGTGGTGTTGGAGCTGCATTATGATTTATGAACATTGATGCGTAGTATAGGTTACCAATTGATTACCTTAGTGTTGATGTAATGCAGTAAAATTACTTTGATTCAGAGTCACTAGAACTTTTGAATTTCGTTGCCCTTCAATATGTAGATATATTATTGCTAGAAGTTTAGAGTTCCCATCACATATATATACATGTACATGTACAACACAATGTGAAGTCTGCACTGAAAACTTTGTCCAGTAATAGAAGGGCAACAAGAAGTTGACAAGGAACAACTACACGTCTCGGCGGAACAGATTGTATGCGGAGATGAGGGAGCAGATGGCGAAAACCGCGAATGCCAGGAAAGATATGGCGATGGAGCCATTCGCCATGCTCGGGAAGGGATCGCTCCCCCAGTTGTCGATCAAATCACTTACTCGAGCAGTTGCTGACGACGATGACGATATCAGAAGGTACGCTAACACCTGAAATAACAAAAAAAGAAATCAGCATCGGCATCCACTTGCTGAGATTGAATTGAAAAGCAGAAAACATCAAGAAAGCAAGCTCATCTCTGGGAATTGTGGGTCTACATTGGCATACTATCCTAGAGTTCTCTATTCATGTAGTTGGGGGGGAGAAGGGGGGAGAAACGGAGCGATTCCAATGCACAGTTTTGGTAAAATTTGACCAATGGTGATTTTATTCCAGTGTCCAGTGTTATCAAGTCATCTAGTTGATTCTATTCGGCAAGCGACCGACTAGGCGACTAGTCGCAATAAGTCGTCGACCAGAGCGACTAGTCAAACCTAGCCACCCCTATATGTCAGGACTAATATATATGATATACTATGTACACAAGTGCGGAACCAAATCTACAAAAGTGCAGCAGGCAAGCCACAAGCCAGCACCCACCAGTAGCAGTAGACATAAACATCAGTAAATGGCAGACAAGCAGAGCAAAGAGCAATTCCTACACTGCTACTGCAGCAGTCAATTTTCAGGAATAAGATCTCAAGAAAATGGAGGAGGAATGGAGATCGGAGGAGAAGCTCATCTTCGCAGACCGGCAGCAACTAGGATGAGAAGGGTTACAAATTGGGCCAAAACAAAATTAAGCCCAAGTGGCCCAAGCCAGCCTAGATACACATACACCCGATGTCTCAGCTGCCCAGCAATTGCATTATGTTTCTGGTCGTTAACCCCCTAGTCGACGACTAATCACACGGCCAGACAACTAATCGGTCTAATCGGGTCGTAGCTCCTAGTCGAGTCCAGAGTAGCGATTAGGACTAATCATGATTAATTGGACGACTTAATAACAATGCCAGTGTCAACCTTGAAACTAATGTGATTGTGGCCTTGTGGGATAGTTGATGAAGTTGGCCATCTAAACTATCTATTTAACCCTTCACTAAAGTCAATTCTGGCACTAGCTATCACGTGCTCAGGGAGAATCGAGATGTCTCACCTCAAATGTAAGCAACAAGGAGGCAGTCTCAAGTTTGTGTAACTGACAAAATAAGAAGTAAAATTGACACTAGTACAGTGACATCACAATAAAGGTGCTACACACCAACATTATGGTCTTGTAACTCTTCAGTTCAGATAAGAAACCAGGGAGGGTTCATATAAGAAACCAGGAAGGGGCCAGCTAATGATCCTGCAATTCTATGCACTTGAGCACATAATCATTGTGAAATAATTTCGGTTTGCTTGAGGACATATTAACTATAAGCAAGCTCATCAATTGCTCATTCACTCGGTTTACATGTGAACACGGATGCAGTGAACGTGAAAATGAATATGTCGAACATCGCAATGATCTTGCTGATACTCATGTATAAAGTAACAGGAGTAGTCAGGGATGCAAAGTAGTATGCAGCAACCAATCAGCTAGGTTTTATTTCCACGCTGATGTTGAGTATTCTCTACTCAACTTCAAATAAATAGCTATTAACAGCCATAACAATTCATCAATCAGCTAGGTTTTATTTCCACGCTGATGTTGAGTATTCTCTACTCAACTTCAAATAAGTAGCTATTAACAGCAATAACAATTCATCGCAAATTTGGATGGATGATGCAAAGTTTAGCACGGGAAAGGACAATCAAAATGCAGACATTTGGGGTGCATACCAAGACGGCAATGATCTAACCATGCTGACTGCGACTGAGGCACCAAATGGAGCATAAAGTAACTACAGAGTATATCACTGCTTCACTAGTCACAAGTAAGACATCTTCATCAGGTTAAAAAGCTTATACTTTGCTTCGGCAAGATGACTTCATACTGATTCCTCTTCCTCCACAAAATAATAATCAGGAGGACAGGACAAGCAGTTGCACAGCCCTAAACAAGCCTAGGAAAAGCGAGCGGTAAAGGCGACACGAGGCAGGCACAAACAAACCTGATCCATGGTGAAGTCGAAGAGATCACGCTTGGGATGAGGAATCAAATGCTTGTTCCTCCTCATGAGCTCGGCGAGCGCGACGAACTGGAACACCGAGTAGAGGAAGCCGATCACGTTGACGGCCTCCGAGTACCTACGCACGCAGCAGAATGAATGTCTGACGCGTAAACGGAATCGCCAACACAAGCTATATAGAAATACTAGAACCATAACATGCGAGTAAGGGGGGGCGTACCGGAACTGGGTGTAGTTGCTGTAGGAGTCGCGGGCCCAGCCCTTGCGAGTGTCGGCGGCGAGCACGGCGAGCGCGGCGAGGCAGAGCCCCGCGGCGGCGCCCCTGGACAGCAGCGCGGTGCGCTGCATCGCGGCGACCCGGCGCTTCCGCGACACGATGTTGGGCACGACCTGGTCGGCCGACCTGAACTGCACATGAGGCGACGGGGCCCGTGGAGCCGGAGCCGGGGCGGTAGGGGAACCTGAGCCGGAGCCGGGGCGGGAGGGTAGCCGGAGGCAGAGCCGGGGAGGGCGCGGGCGGGGGCGGCGGCGGGGCCTCCACGGGCTGCTGGCGCCGTGGCGGCGTCGGATCGGGGCGAGCGTGACGCGGCGGTGCCGCGGTGCGGGTGCGGCCGCCGTTCCACGAGTACCACCCCGCGGAGCCGCCGCCGCCGGGGTTCGGGTCGGCGGTGTGCAACGTGGCGCGCGGCGGCACGTACTTGGCGGCGGCGGCGTGGTGCGTGGAGGCGACGACGACGAGCTCGACGTCGTCCGGGGACGCGGCGGCGGCGCCGGCGCCGGCGGTGGGGAGCTTCTCCACGTCGCCCGGCCACTCGCCGCTACCCGTCCCCTCGCGCGTCGGCGAAGGCGACGGGGTGGCCTGCTGCTGCGCCTGCGCTGCCTGGAGCGCCATGTGGGTGGAGGGAGGGGAGTTGGGAGTGGGGTTTCTTTCTTGCTCGGGTCCAGAAATAATCGAGGGACTCATGCGCGTGTTTAGTCTGAATTTTGGAAGTTAGGCTACTATACTACTTTCGTTTTTATTTAGTAATTAATGTTTAATTATAAATTAATTAGGCTTAAAATATTCATCTCGTAATTTCCAACCAAACTGTGCAATTAGTTTTTTTTTGTCTATATTTAATACTCCATACACGTATCGCGAGATTCGATGTAATGGATATTATAACACTTTTTGAGAATTTGAGGTTGGAACTAAACACGCGCTATAATACCGGGCTCTAAGCGAACAGGGACCACCGGACCAGGTTTGCAAGCCTGCCTCCGAATTGCAGATCACTCGTTGCAGTAGCAGCACGCAGGTGTGCCGTGGTGGTAACACACACTGCCACCGGGGGTAGCTAGTGCGGCCGTGGATTCCTTTCTGCAGCCGGTGGTGCTTCCCTTGTCATCCAATCCAACTTTGCGTCGCGTCTCCTTCCTCCGACGACGACCGACGACGACCGACGACGGACAGTCCTCTCTCCTTTTATTTCCAGATTGCTGGCCAGGTGTGCAGATGTGCTTTGCATTTGGGGCTTGCTTGGTTGATGCCCTCTGCTTCCTCCTCTCACCTGGTCAGTAGTCACCTTAACGTTGTACACTTGCTACTGAGTACTGGCACAAAGTGGCAGGGGTGCACCGCAAAATTCCAAAGTTGAGGTCACTTTGATACTGGGCAAATATGCTCGTAAAGTTGTAATAGCTCCAGTGTCAACATTCAAGTCCCCGACTAATTTCTCTCCGCTGCCAGTACTTTTTTTTTTGAAATGCACCGAGTTCCAGTCCGCCTATGGGCCTTTAGAACGTGTGATTTTTTGTTCTGCTTCCTACTTTTATTTTGTAAAAATACACCGATTCACGTTAAGAAATTCATGCCTTCTAAAGGACTCTATTCTCTTTGCATCGGTGCTTCAGGACCAGTGTGGTAAGAGTGTAAGACACTGAAGCAGCCCAAATGAAACGTGCAGTTGGGCTGGACCGGACCGGATCGGATGGCTGAGAAGAGATCAAGCATGATCACGGCCCACCAAATTGTCAGCTTGGGCTGCCCAGTTGAGTTGACAGCCGGCATTTGCTCAAAAAGTCTGATTTTCACCATGAAGATTGAAGATCTACGTCCATTGCATCCTACTTTAACCACGCACGCACCGGATGAATAGGTAGCTAGCCAAGATGTGAGCATGCTCGGTCACACAGATGCGCGAGACACGTAGGGCCGGTCCCGTTGTGCGCTTCCACTGCATGGTCTGTCTATATACATGCACGCAGCAGCCTCCTCGCCGGCCACTGCCACGCCACGAGGTCGATCACTCTCACTCTGCCAACCAAGCCACACGAACACGAGAACCGGTCCATCCACCTCGATCATCGATCTCGACCCTCATCGCCGGCCCATCCCATCATATCGTCGCTCGCTCGTTCGATCGCCATGGCAGCAGCTTCGTCGTCGTCTCTGTGCGTCCCGGCGCCGCAGCGGTTGGCCGTCGTCGTCGCACTCCTCCTCGTCCTCGTGCTCCTCCGCGCGCCGTGCGGCGGTGCCAGAAGGCCAGTGCGCGAGGGGACGAGTAACGGTGGTGCAGCTACTGTTGCGCGGGTGCGGAAGCTCGACGGCGGTCACCACCGGGCGACGGACAGCGTGGCCACGGCCACGGGGGCGGCGCGCCGGGCGACGACCGTCGGCGGCGGCGCTCCCACCCCGCCGTCCGGCCCGTCGCAGAACCACAACTGAGCATGCAGTGCTCCTCGTCCAGCGTGCGCGTGCGGTCGGAGCTCAGCTCGCCGCCGCGCCGATCATCGAGATTCCCGGCCGGCTGTCCGGCCTGGAGCATTAAAAAAATACTGTCTCGTTCATCCTTTTCTTAGCTCATGTGGCAGTGTTTAAATTAGTTTACAAAAATTATTATAGATAAGGGCTGCTGTATTTGATTTGGCTAAATTTTGTTTCATCTTATCGTGACAATGTTTCTTCTCCTTCTGTGTTTTTTTTTTCTCTGCAAATAAACTTTGTTTTGAAATGGTCTGTAAATAAACTTAGGCTCTCGTCACATTGCACTTGGTGGAGTTGTTCGGTTGTGCCATGCTACTACAGACAGCAGCTGACCGTGTCTCAACTCATGCTGTGCTACTGATGAAACCTATCCGGCAAAAGTGCACAACCGTGTTGGTGTGCCAGTGGCCACTGGCCAGGCATTGTTTGTGACACTGACACAGTTCACCTGCCCCAACTTGGGGCTCACCAGTACTAGTGTACGTACATGCGTTGCATTCATTCAGCCTATTCGCTTGTTTGCCAGTCAAGGCTTATCAGTTAGTCCAGAGTATTTTTCTTTCACAACAAATCAGCACCAGTCAGACTTCTCAGCCTAAAAATCAATCAGCGAACAGGCTCGATCTCAGCTGACCATTTCCCTAACTGAAAATCCTGAGCTGTCATGGCACTTCCAAGGTTCATCGCCTCGGCATGACATTTTACGAGCAGTTCGGAAACCATTTTCGACCGCTGCGGCTGCAGCTGCCTCTCACAGATTTACTGTGGTAGCAGCAGTAGCAGCTGCAGCTGCAGCAGTATAGATGTAGCACCATAGCAAAGATTTATTATGTGGCTGATTGGTTGCCCGAACCAGGCTATTCTGGTATCATTTGCCTGTTTCACCTCATTCCTCTGTCGTGTTTGGTTCCCCGCCTTGCACGCTTTGTTTGCTTCGTTTCATTCCGCTGCCCTCCACCATCCCGCACGGCTCCGTCTTCTCAATTTCCACTTCCCTCACGATGCAGGACAACACGATGCACACATGGTATAAGGGCTCATATGTCACACACTCAAAACTCTTATCCATGTATGCAACCAAACAAGATCACGTCTCGTATTGGACCAACAATAAAGACAACCAAACATGACTGGGTGCACGATTTGAGCATGCATTTCACAATCCTGCACTGCCTCTCCATTCCGGCTCCCCATCACCAAAGCAACCAATCACGCCCTATAGTTCTTATCGATCAGGAAATTTTGCGAAACCAAGGAGAGTGCGGTTAACAGCCAGAATCTAGCACTTGAATCTCAAAACTTAATAGTACACCGGTCTAATTCTACATGCATAGCTTTTATTATGTATCTAGACATAGCACATATAGCAAAAACAATGTAGGCCATGTTCGTTTGAACTTATCAGCCTGGCTTATCAGCTATGATACAGTGTTTTTTGTAACACCCCGGTGTTATGCCTGCATTTAGGCACTGCAAATCATACATATCATGCATCATCAAGCATCATAATCCTACATGCCAAATCATGTAAATAACAATTGAAATACTGCTTCGAAACATATGAAACATGTTGTGAAACCTGAATGTTGCATACCTTTGTTTGAATTGTTTTGCCCTGATTTTGCTTGCTAGGTTAGTAAAACATGTTTGGCTACTATGGTAAATCATCTAGGATTATTTAGTTCAATTTTTGGAGCAAGGTTGGTATTTAAAGTAATTTCCCAAAAATTAGGGTTTTGAGTTAAACATGGGGTTTGATTTTTCAATTAAAAATCTAGAAAGAATTTGGCGTTGGTCAGAAAAGCAAAGTTGTAGAGAATTAAATTCTAATCAACTTTCATTTTTGGTACATTTTTAAAAGATGTCATTTTCTTGCTCAAAATAATATTTGAAAGCTGGCATTTAAAAATTTCTTGAAAATATAAATGAAAAAGGGTTTTTCTCCTTCGCGGGCCGCCGCCTGCTTCGACCACGACCAAAGCTGCCCAGTAGCCTTGTGAACCCGCCCACCCATCATCATTTCACCTCATGCTGCCCACGCCACACGCCACGCCTCGGCCCGATCCTGCACACCCCTGCTCCGCTTCGCTTGACGCTCGCGCCGCATTATCGGCGTCAGGCGCTCGAGCAGCTCTGCCACAGCGCGATCATCCGCCGGCGTCGCCCAAGCCTTGAAGCCTGACGACCCGCTCCCACGCACTCCGCCTTCATCTGCCGAAGCCGGGTGCTTTCGCTCATTACCTCACTCCCATGCCGCTTCTCCCATCCCATCCAGCAAACACGCTTTTCGCTTCTGCCACTCGCGCCACCACCACCACCACCGACGAAAATCCACCGCGGCTCCTCCACCTCAGCCAGTAATCACGCGCCCGCAACTCCGCCTCGCTCTCCTTCAAGTCGTGCTCGTGTTTGCACCGACTGCTGAGCTCAAGTAGAGCCGTCTCAAACCCCGCCACCGTCGGCCATGGGGCCGCCGTGCTCGGCCGCCATGGAAAGCCCCTTCCTTCTCTTCTCCAACCCCGCCTAGCTACCCTACCGCATTCGCCAGCTTCTCGCGCATCGCATGCGCCCGCTATCTCACCTGTCTCGGCCGGAGATGGCACACTGCCTCGTGGCGAGCAGCGCCATGGCCGACGTCATAAGCCAGCCGGCGTGGCCTCTCGCTCAAACCAAGCCGGTAGCCGCAGTTGCGTGGGCATGGCTCTGCCGAGCCGTCTCCCCCTTCCTTGCGCTCGGGCCGCGCAGGCCAAATGTGGTCGTGGGCCAGCTGACTCTAGCGGGCTGGCCCAGTAGCCGTAGATAAATGGTTTTCAATTTATTCTTTATTATTTGAAAATAGAAATGGTTTGAAAAATGTTTGGATACTCAAAGTTGCTCTAAATCTGTTGAAATAAATTTGTCTAGGTTACTTATCATCAGATCTACTTGGGAAAATTATTGCATGTCATTTTTGAGATACTTTTCTGTAGAACTTTATTTAATCATGTATATTGCTGATAACTTGAAAAATGTGTAGAAAAATCTATAGGATTCAGAAAAATATGATTCTAAGTTTGTTAATCTTCTTATGTAATGTACTTTCTAGGAAAAATATGTGTCACGCTTGTGCTGTAGAAAAATTTCGAGGTGTAGTTCAAGTGCCTTTA